CCTTCTTCCCGGCTTCGTGCGCTTTGATGATCTTCAACTTCAAGTTGAGATCAATGGACCTCCTCTGCTTTTTGATGTTCCCTTTCGCTGAAGTGGGGGACTCTGGGTTTGTGGACACTTTGTTTTGGGGTGTGACCGGGTGGACGACGGATTTCCGTCGACTCGTTATCATTTTCCTTGTGCCTGGCAATTCCTTGGAGGCTTCTTTGATCCTTCTTGAATCCTTCAAAATCGTAAAGATGGTGGTATGTCCCAGGCCTTCTTCTCGGGCGATAGCGGACACTTTCTTCCCACCTTCGTACGCTTCGATGATCTTTAGCTTCCGATCAAGATTGATGGATGTCCTACGCTTCTTGCCACTTCCAGCAGCTGAACTGGGGGTGGTAGGCTTCGTAGACACGCTGGTTGAGATTTGGGTTTGCGAGCAACTTGGTCTGGGGGGAGATGGGATGGGATTTGGGTCTGCAGAGACATTGGTGTGGGTGGCGGGTGGGTGGACATGGCCCTTTCGTGGTTTTGTGATAACTGTTCTTGTCCCTGGTAATTCCTTCATAGCTTCTTTGATCCTTTTCTGATCTTTCAAAATCGTGATGACGGTGGTACGGGCCAGACCTTCTTCTTGAGCGATAACTTGCGCCTTCGTCCCGGCTTCGTATGCTTTGATGATCTTCATCTTCAGATCAAGACTGATAGTTTTCCTAGACTTCTTGCTATGCTCTCCCGTTGAAGTGGGGGTCTTCGGCTTTGCGGGAGTCTTGATGTGGGGTGTGAGCGGACGCAGGAGGCGTTTCCGTGCTTTTGTGATAATTTTTCTCGTCCCCGGTAATACCTTGAGGGCTTCTCGGATCCTTTTCTTATCCTTCAAGATGGTGAAGATGGTGGAATAGGACAGGCCTTCCTCTTTCGCTATGATCTTCATTTTCTTCCTGGTACGGTATGCTTTGATGATCTTCATCTTCAGATCAAGACTGATGGACCTCCTTCGCCTCTTGTTCCCTCCTTCCACTGAAAGGAGGGTCTTGTGCTTTGAAGACACCTTGGTAAGGGATCCAGATGTTTGAGGGAGGTCCTTTGCCTCTCCTGTCCTTGGTGAACCACTCATGGCTCCCCTGACCCTTTCCTTATTCTTCAAATTGGGACTGGCCAGGTCTTCTTCTGCTGCTATCGGACCCACCTTCTTCTCGGCATTGTGGACAATGTCGGTCGTCACTGTCTGACTGAGATCGATTCTAGTCTCTTTGATGCTATTTTCATTTGAAGCGGGGCCCTCTGGCTTCGAAGACGTCTCGGTATTGGGTGCAATTGTGTGGGTGAGACCTTCCTGCTGTCTTCCTGTCCTTGTCTTCATCCCTGGTGTTCTTTTATTCTCCTTCCTCATCCTCTTCGTGTTCTTCAAATTGGCCAGGGTGCTGGAACAGGCCAACCCTCCTCCTCCTCCTTTTCCTTCTATCGCGTCCGTCTTCTTCCCGGCATCATGGGCACCGAGGTCTTTCATCTTCGAACTGAGGTCAAGGCTTTGCTCCCCGCTAGTTCCTTCATCTGAAGTGAGGTTCTTGGCCTCTGAAGACATCTTGGTATGGGGTATAAAGGCGCGTAAATAGTAAATAAGCAAGTGAAAATTTAAGAGCAGGTTATACGCGAAAGCGGTTTAACTAACTGCAATGACTAACTCAGGACTGGAATGGTACAGGGTTGGACTAGAAGACCTCCAAGACCCCCTCCACCTCTGTTATTCAGAAATCTTATAGGGTTCTCCTGCTTGAGCAGGGGGAGGGGTGGATTAGAAGGCCTCCAGGGTCCCTTCCAATTCTGTTATTCTGTTAATCATCCTCATAGAGAGTGAGATACTACAGAGGCCATAAAAGCATTGGTCGCAAAGCTACTTTATTTTACGGGGAGTCCTCAACTTACGACCAAATTGGGACCAGAAATTCTGTTGCTGATAGTTGTTTTAAGGGAGTTGCATCCTATATTATGACCTTTTTTTTTTTGCCATGCTGTTAGGCAAATCACTGCAGTGGTTAAACTGGCCACGTGACCATCAATTCTGGATCCCCCCACGGATTGTGCTTGTCGAACACCAGCTGGGAAGGCCACACATGGCGATCACGTGATCCCAGGATGCTGTGACTGCCGTAAGGTACATGCCAAGTGCCCGAATTTTAATCATGGTGATTGTGGGGATGCTGCAACAAGAGTCATAACCGAGAGGACCCGGTTTTTTTAGGTCACTTTTTTCAGTGCTGTTGTAACTCTGAAACAAATGGTTGGAAGCCGAGAACCACCCATATGGTCAACGTGTTTGCGATAGGTGGCTATCTGAGGCATTTGCTAAACAGGGAGAGCCTTAGAAGAGGTTGAAATTATTATTATTATTTTTCCTACCGTAATTGAGAAGGGAAGGAAGAGGAGCTGCTAAAATAATGTTGCATCAGCTTGTGAGGAAATCAACGACGGGAACCCTTCCTGTATTTAGGCAACAGCACCGATGTGCTTAGCCCAATTCAGCAACGACTATCCAAAGGCAGAATTTACATTCTGGCACAAAATCCAGGAGATTTGATCTAAGAATGGAGCCAAAAGCCCTACGACGAATCCTTGGATGCTTTCCCGAAAATTTATCGGAAGTACAGGTAGTCCTCGGCTTACGACCACAATTGAGTCCAAAATTTATGTGGCTAAGTGAGACATTGGTTAAGTGCGTTTTGCTCAATTTTATGATTTTTCTTGCCACAGTTGTTAACAACTTAACAACTGCAGTGATTCATTTAAGTGAATCTGGCTTGCCCATAGCCTTTGCTTGACAGAAGGTCGCAAGAGGGGATCGCGTGACCTGGGACACACAAGAGGATCACATGACCTGGGATACGCAAAATGGGATCACGTGACCTGGGACACGTCATAAATACGAGCCAGTTGCCAAGCATCTAGATTTTCATCACATGACCAAGGGGATGCTGCAATGGTTGTCGTAAGTGTGAAAAAATGGTCATGTCACTTTTTTTTTACTGCTGCTGTTAACTTTGAATGATCACTAAACGAATTGTTGTAAGTCGAGGACTGCCTGTAATTATGCAAGGGCCAACTGTTTCATACTTCTTCATGAAAGAATTCCCCATTCAGTCAGATAGAATTCTAGATTCAGTGTTTCTCAACTTTGATCCCCTTGAAGAAATCCCAGAATTCCCCAACCAGAAAACTGAGATGGAGCCCACCCCTCTTATAAAGCTAGGGGATTCTGGGAGTGGAAGTCCTCCCCTCTTAAAGCATCCTGGATGGGGGATTCTGGGAGAGGAAGTCCTCCCCTCTTAAAGCATAGCTGACTGGGGGATTCTGGGAGTTGAAGTCCTCCCCTCTTAAAACCTGCTGGCTGGGGGATTCTGGGAGTTGGAGTCCCCCCCCTCTTAAAGCATGCTGGATGGGGGATTCTGGGAATGGGAGTCCTCCCCTCTTAAAGCATCCTGGATGGGGGATTCTGGGAGTTGAAGTCCTCCCCTCTTAAAGCATAGCTGACTGGGGGATTCTGGGAGTTGAAGTCCTCCCCTCTTAAAACCTGCTGGCTGGGGGATTCTGGGAGTTGGAGTCCCCCCCCTCTTAAAGCATGCTGGATGGGGGATTCTGGGAATGGGAGTCCTCCCCTCTTAAAGCATCCTGGATGGGGGATTCTGGGAGTTGAAGTCCTCCCCTCTTAAAGCATAGCTGACTGGGGGATTCTGGGAGTTGAAGTCCTCCCCTCTTAAAACCTGCTGGCTGGGGGATTCTGGGAGTTGGAGTCCCCCCCTCTTAAAGCATGCTGGATGGGTGATTCTGGGAGTTGGAGTCCCCCCCTCTTAAAGCATGCTGGATGG